CTCCTTTGAAAGACTGTTTGCCAGGCCTTTGCCTGAATGTGAATGGGAGGAATTCACATTCGTTTAATAAAAGGGGTTTTGTTGGGACCAGGACTCTGCCTCGTGGTTTTTGGGGAAGCCTAGCTCAGAACACAACCCTTTTGACTAGTGATTTAAGTCATGATTAAAATCAAATCTACCCTGTACAAAGACGACAAAGAAAGGAAACCATTCCAGAGTTCATACTCACCACGTCATAATTGGTTGGGGCTCGGCTCCGGGAGGCTATGACACCAACGCCGGTAATGGGGTCCATAGGCACGTTGGCCAAAGCATCGGTGAGCTCTCTAACTTCCGGCATGGTGGACAGATCCTGGAAGACAAGAAGAGACTCAACGCTGAAGGCGTACAGAACGCTGTTCCCTTCCCACCAAAGGTGGTGCCTATTTTTCTATTTGCATTTTTTACCTGCTTCCGAACTGCTAGGTTGGCAGAAGCTGGGACAAAGTCACGGGAGCTCACTCCGTTACGCAGCGCTGGGGATTCGAACCACCAAACTGCCGACCTTTCTGATCGACAAGCTCAGCGTCTTAGCCACTGAGCTACTGCGCCCCTTTCTGGACTACAAACACAAATAGTCCTTGATTTTCAACAGTTCGATTAGTGACAGTTCAAAGTTACGGCGGCAGGGGGGGGAAGAGACTTATGACCACGTTTCACACTTTAGACACTTGGCAACTGACTTGTATTTATGACAGCTGCAGCTTCCCTGGGTCATGTGATCCCCCCTTTGCAACCTTCTGACAAACAACCTCAATGGGAAACCATTTTCGTTTAACAACCATGTTGCTAACTTTTAACAACAGCAGCGATTCGCTTACGCAACTGAGGCAACAAAGGTTGTAAAGCAGGGCAAAATTTGCTTAATGAATGTCTCACTTAGCATCAGAAATTCTGAGCTGAATTGTGGTCCTAAACTGAGGACTACCTGTAGAGTGGCAGTCCAGCAAGAAATCCAACAAGGCCTCCACATTTGAACTGCAGATATTTAATATTGTTACAAGAATCCAATTGGAAGCTCGCTGCACCTGGTGGGAAAACTAAGAGTAGCTACACCGTCCTGAAAAGACCACACAAGGGGGAACCAGTAGTAGGCCACACGTTGTTGTTTCGCCGAATACACAACTGGCTGAATTGTATCCGTTACAACTTGCTACACTGGCATTTAGCAATGTTTCCTTTCATCACTCTAGTTCAGGGGTCCCAACCTTTCGGATCTCAGGGACCACTAAATTCATAATTTGAAATCCCGCTGACTACTAATATGATCTGCCTAATGACCAGCTGGCTGGGTGTGGCTAGGTGGTCATGTGACTGGGTGGGTGTGGCCAACTCGATGTCACTCACATTGAGGGATGCCTCGACAGCCTCTACTCACCCCTCCCAGCCCTCCTTACCTGCCCACCGGGGCTCCTTAGGGCCCCGACAGGAAGCAGTTGCTGGAGCTAAGCAGCCCCCAGGAGAAAGAGTTGGCAAAACAGTTCAAATTGGATCTGACCGAGAAGGAGGCTCAGCAGTAGCCCCTCACTGAGGACTAGGAGCATAGGCTTTCCAAGCGGAGGGAAGACCTGCGGGAGTGCAAGGCCAGGTGCCGGCGCCTGGAGGCTCACTGGGCTGAGATGGTCAGCCAGTTCCAGGCCATGATGCCGCCCCACTGGAAGGAGGCCCTCCGGCTCTTCCCCACCAGCGGCTCTTCCCTCCAGCCTTCGCCCAAACCCCCAGGAGGCTGAAGCAGACCCCAAGTTGGAATTCCTGCCCCCCCCTTCAACCTGCACAAAAAGACCCCGAAGGACTTCCATGTCTTAGGCATGGAAGCTGGCTGGGTGGCTTTGAACTAATCGCTAGGAGTCCGTGAGTTCTAGTCTCGTCAGGCATGAAAGCTGGCTGGGTGACTTTGGGCCAATCACCGGGACACGGTGAGTTCTAGCACTGCCTTAAGCACGGAAGTGAGCTGGGTGACTTTGGGCCAATCACCAGGACACAGTGAGTTCTAGCACTGCCTTAAGCACAGAAGTGAGCTGGGTGACTTTGGCCCAATCACCGGGAGATGGTGAGTTCTAGCACCACCTTAAGAATGGAAGTCAGCTGGGTGACTTTGGCCCAATCACCAGGAGACGGTGAGTTCTAGTCCTGCCTTAGCCATGAAAGCCAACTGGTTGGCTTTGGGCCAGTCCCTCTCTCTCTCTCTCTCAGCCCAACCCACTCACTTAAACAACGGTCTCCCATATATTTCGGGCTCAGTTCTTGTCGTAATCCGAGGACTACCTCTACTGAAATTAGAGAGAGAGGTGATAAATTGGTCATCTATATTCTAAAGTCACTTTAGCAAGGGTGCCCACTGGGCAAATGTGAACTCTTCAGGGTAGGAACCGAACACGGGTGCGAAATACCGCAGGTATTGACCGAGGTGGCTTCGCGGGACCCCTGCCGTGTGTTTTAGCACCTGCTTCCCCCCCCCGCCCCTTCCTCTCTCTGCGAATTTTCCAAATTCTGGATGCCGTCGGCCAATGGGAGCCACACGTCGGGCTCTTTCTCGTCACGCGTGCGAAGTGTCAGATTGCAGGAATTAAAAATGCAAATGACGGCGTCTAATTAACCAGTTGACAGCGGAGCGCAGCTGCCAGTGACAGTGAGTGATTACCTTCTGTGAATCCTTCCCCTCCACGGCCCAAACATACTTTAAAAGCTGGGGAGAAGCAAGGGGGAAACCCACCCACCCACCCCCCGAAAAAGATAGCTGCCTCCTGAAAAAGCCCAGCTCTCTGCGCATAAATCTTCACACTGCATTAGGGTGGTGTCAACTCCCACTTAGTTGCAACAAGGTGTTGCAACTCGCGCCAGACGCTGACTGACTTCTCAAGCCCGCTTATTAAATCTCCCACCGTTTCTGTACAGGTGAGCTCTCGAGTTACCGCCAAAAGTGGGGACTAGAATTTTCATGGCGGTGTTAAGGGAGCAGTGCCCGGTTTTACGACCCTTTTTGCCACTGTCATTAAGTGAATCACCATGGTTGTTAAGTGAAGCACACAGTTGTTAAGTGAATCCAAATCCCCCCCCTTGACTCTGCTTGTCAGAAGCTGGCTGGGAAGGCCGCAGATGGAGACCATGGGACCCCTAGCGAGGCTGCAACCCTTGTAGATTCGTGATAGTAGTCAATTTGCCCGAATTTTGATCACATGATGTGGGGATTCTGTGAGTGGTGTGGTGGCCTAGAGGCAGAGCTCTGGCCTCACCATCAGGAGGCTGTGAGTTCAATCCTAGGTAGAGGCAGGTGTTTCTCTCTCTGGGCACAATGAGAATATATCTGCCGAACAAAACTCAGCGCTGGTGACAGGCGTGGCATCCGGCCAGTAAATAACATTCAACTCCATTCAGCTTCCCAGACTCCACCCTGCAAGGGATCCTTCTTCCTCCTGGTTGCAAGACAAGAGCGCCCCCTCTAGGCCACCACCTCTAGCCTTTCTTATGGGATTCTCACCCTTTCCGCTTCACTCCCCTCTAGATACTACTCAGATATCGGCAAGATGCCAGCTATCAGCGACCAGGATATGAATGCTTATCTAGCGGAGCAATCGCGCATGCACATGAACGAGTTCAACACTATGAGTGCGCTCTCCGAGATCTACTCGTATGTGGGCAAGTACAGCGAAGAGGTGAGCCTGGGCCGGCGGGGGGGGGGGGGGCGTTGCATGGGCCAAAGGGTGAACGTAGTGGTGACCTTCAGCCCATTTTATGGACGTCTTAAGACTCCGGGAAGTAAAAGCCAGTGGACATTTCGGCTTTGCAATTGGCTTATCTTTGGATGACAGGCAGCCGGGTCTGCGAATCGCTCCGTGGAGTCATCCGGAATAGCGTTTCTCTACCTCAGCCATTTAGATGGGGGGGGGCGGGGGGGGGCTTAACATGGCTGCCTGGGGGGAATTCTGGGAGTGGAAGTCCAGCCATCTTAAAGAAATTGAGAAAGACTGGTCTAGGCCGTAAGAGATGGAAGGGACCTTGGAGGTCATCACGTCTGACTCATTCATGGATGGATGGATGGATGGATGGATGGATGGATGGATGGATGGATGGATGGATGGATGGATGG